TTTACATTTTTACAGTAATATTGCATCTGATATTGTAAATATCTACTGGTGCACAAAAACAGTATGTAATTTTTTTTTTATAAAAGAGGTAGAATTTTTAGGTTACAGATTATACATAATTTTAAAAAGTACTAATGTGGCTTTGTGAATTTTTTTTTCTAATTTACTAAGAAGGACAATAAGTATTATGTTTTTTATTTTTTTTTAATGCTTATTTATATTTGGGAGAAAGACAGAGACAGGGCATGAAAGGTGGAGGGGCAGAGAGAGAGAGGGAGACACAGGATCCAAAGCAGGCTCCAGGCTCCAAGCTGTCAGTTCAGAGCCTGAACCCATGAATCATGAGATCATAACTGGAGCCTACGTTGGACACTTAACCAACTGAGCCACACAGGTGCCCCAATAAGTATTTATTTTATGGCTATGGAAACATATAAGAAAGGTAACATAATCTAAAACAGAGAGGTAGTGTGACCTAATAGTTAAGACTTATGCTCAGAATTCAAACTATCTGGATTCAAATCCCACTTTCATATATCAGCTGTTTGAGTTTCCACAAATGAATGAATCCTTTATCTTTATCTCCAATAGGAAAATAGTATGACACATCTCATGATGGTGTCTTAAATGTGGCACATATAGAATAATATCTAGCACTAAGTAAGCCTTAAATAAATATTAACAATTATTATGTTTGTTGTTTATACTATTGTTTTTCTATGTGTAGCTACATTATCCTTACTATTTATCAAGGAATAAGAAGGACTCAAACGTTTTGAATACTGGAGGTGATTCTCCAAGTCTTTTAGTCCAGTTCTTTCATCCAGTATCAGGATGGCTTTTGAACAGCTTTACATATCACTTTTCTCCCTTATTTCTTCTAGGAATGAATAAACTCCTTATCATAGAATAGCTCATCCTATCTTTCTAAACTTAATTGGTAGGAAAGTTATCCCCATTTTAAGCTAAAAATACACGTCTCCAATATCTTCGTCCACCTAATTCTTCCAGAGCAAAACATTAAATTTACTGTCATTTCTATACAACCATCTCCTGAATTCTTTAATATGTACAATGACTCTCCCCACTCTTTCAGTTTCTCTTTTGAAAATTAAAATCCTAGGTTTTATCAAAATGTTTTAGACATAAGTATTTTTAAAATATCTTAAGTTATACCTTTAAAAAATTAGGCTTTATCTCACTACTCTGAAGACATTCTGCTTTGACAATTGTCCCCTAAGATATGGTCTAAATATAAGAGCAAAATACTGCAATGCTGCACAGTGAAGTGGGCGTATTATTTTCCTTACACTAGATGATATAGGTCAATTATTGTGACCTAACATTGTATGATACTTTTTTAACACACATGTCACTTCCATAGGACTTACTTCAGAGAGGTAGATGTTAGACAAATTGTATACTCAACAATGAAAAGCAACAGAATTTACTCTTTATTTACATTTTAGAGATACAGTTATACTTTCCAGATTCTCCCAGAAGGAGTTAGACAAACTAAATACGATTAGGAAAAATATCACATTAATGAAATTGAAGTTTCTAAGTAATCTTACCACACGAATAGAATATCTGATTCTAGAAATCTAGAAAGAAGAAGCTAAGAATTCAACTTGTTTTATTTTTCCTCTGAGACATTACATTTTAAAAATATCTATAAGTAGCAGTAATTGTGAAACGCAATGCTTAAGCACAGATGACACAAAGATTTAGCTTTCCCTATGTTTTTATTTAATATGTTTTGTCTGATGAGAAAAATCATTTATTCAAGATGTCTTCCTGTTAATAATGGAAGTTATGACTGAGAGTCCTGTGGAGACTCTCTTGAGAATGCTAACTAACCCTCAACCATGAGTAGACCTTCAAGGTCCCACTGTTACCACTTCTTCTCAATAATCATTCTCATAAAAAATAAAAAAGAAATACCCTATAAATTAAAACTTGAACTAGGCAAAACAAAAGTAACAAAATGATTCCAGTTCTCAAGTTTGCATGTATGCACTCATTTTGATTTCCATGTGAAAATACAGCCTAGTTTGAGAAGAACTTCTTTTTTTATAGATGGAGTCAGCTTGTGACCATAAAATTCCTAAAAATCTTTTTGTTATGATTATATTGCTTAACAAAAATTTATTTTAATCCACAACATATTTCAAATTGATTGGTGCTTAATTTTGTTATACTGCTGTTTATCATCAGTAAATTTCCAGAAACTATTCTCCCCCAAATACTTCATATCCTACAATCAAGTGCATAGGAAGAAAAGAAGAAAAAAAAAAAAAAAAAAGGAATAGGGCTCCAAAGACAGAAGTACTGAGGTCCAGGGTCCAATTTCAGTATCTGGGTATCCATAGTTCTGTATTCAGGGTTATGTAATATAATAATATGGATGCAGTCAAGATAATATATCTATAAGGGAAGAAGGTATATAAATGGAGTGTATATTATTCATTTCCACCTAACACTTGATAGCAAAGCACGTCCAAATTCACAGGCTTTTTACCCAGAAAGGGTTTATTTTCACTTACCTTTGTGCATTTTCTGTGTTGGTGCTCCATTTCTTTATTGTGATCCAGTTTGAATGAACTGGATCATGTGGGTCAGGAGAGCCATTTGTCAGAGAAGATGAAAAAAAACCACTATAGAATCATAAAATTCATAAACTCCCCATAAAGCTCATAAAAATCTACTTACTTCTTTGTTTTTTATCTGCTCATTATATAAACCAAACCTAGCAATATAGCAAAGCTTGATGTCAGTGTGAAGGGAAAATATCCTCTGGTCTCTTGGTTATCAATGAGGGACCTTGAAGGAGGGGCAGCATATACGTTTGAACAAATAATGTAATCTACCACAGAGAAAAGTAGACAAAAAAACTAAGTTATTCTCTCACTTCCTAACATATATCTAAGTCTCTACTCCCCTATGAAAAGAATTGCTTTTGGAAATCTCCTTTTAGAAATTAAGAAAATTGAGTTACTTCATGGTTAAAACAAACCAAACCAAAACACATATTTCACATTTGTTAAAAATAGGGGATTGAGACTTAATTAGTTTTGTTAATAGTGAAATAAATAGAAGCAATTTTGTACCCATGTTTCTATGTGTCATACCTATTACACAGAGTTTCTATGAATACAATTTGATAAAATTTATGTGCCATTTTTTTACATTTGAAATCTGAAAGCATGTATGGTTTCCATTTGCTGATCAGGTTTCAGAAATTCATTCTCAGTAAAGTGAACTACAAGCTGTCCATGGTTTATATTCTAAAGGATGAAGGCTGAGACAAAAAATTGAAGCTCAAACATTCATTCCTCACCTAACCCAATTCAAGACCTTTGTAGTCACACTTTGTGACTTTGCAATAAGTAACTGGTTGAAATAGAATGTCTAATCTTTCACATACTTTGTTTCTTTTTTTTTTTTAATGTTTTATTTATTTCTAGGAGAGAGAGAGAGACAGCGTGAGCAGGGGAGGGTCAGAGAGAGAGGGAGTCACAGACTGAAACAGGCTCCAGGCTCTGAGCCGGCAGTCAGCACAGAGCCCGACGCGGGGCTCGAACCCACGAACCGCGAGATCATGACCTAAGTGAAAGTCGGACGCTTAACCGACTAAGCCACCCAGGCGCCCCTCTTTCACATACTTTAGAGTGTGCAGAAATGCATAAAATAATTGTTGAATATGATACAATTTAATTTTGTTTTGGATGTTTACCAAATTTGGTTTTTAACGTCCTGTCTAATTTTGTTCTCTGTCCTGCAACAATATGTACTCTTCTCACAGGTACTTTAAGCAATTAATTTCTTTCCAGATTTGTCTCACTCATCCAGAGTTACCTTAACTTATCTAAACATTTAATATATGTAATGGACAAGATTCTTAATGGGCAAATTAGGAAATGTTTTCTGATATATAGAACAAGCAAAGAAAAAAAGAAACAAAAAGACTGTTTCCTAGCTTGGATATGAAATAAACAAACTCCTAGTAAGAGTCTGGGATATTATTTGAATTGTGTGATAGTTGGAAGGAAAAAGTTAACAGAATGGTAAGGAATGAAAAAGGAAATTACCCAATATTAGGTAGGCACTTCAAAGTCCAGATGCTGATTAGATACAAAGAACTTTAAGATAAAATGGCAAATAGTCATACAGTCGGTAAGAAAAATTTTGTATCCAACTAATTTAGACTTAGACTTGTACACTGTGGAATGGTGGTGTACTGGTGGTAGAACTGCAAGAGGGATCGCATGTAATCCTAAGGGAAAAGAAAAGGGAGTCCACAAAGCAGCTTAGTGACAAACTACTTTATCTTAATAATAATTGATGTCATGTCCCCGGGCTCTCTTCCTTACTAGAATACTCCAGTTTGTGTAAGTTATATGGAACAAAATGGTAAAAAGCTTTCACTGGTGCCAGGTGCAACATAAATATGAAATTGATGATTTCTGGGAAATTAGTTTTGGCTTAGCTGTCACTCTTTCAAATAAAGTTCTTTACATAATAAAAAAGATTTCTTAAATGATTTTAGTGTATTAAAGAACAAAAATTCAACCAAGTAGATATGAATCTATCCAGTTGCTAATTGGTTTTATTAAATGATTCATAAATTGGGCAGCATCTCATCTAGAAAATAGAGGAGAGCTCCAAGGTGCTGTACAAAAATTGAAGGTTTTTATAGGAAGTAGATGGAACAAGAAAGTAAAACAAAAGAAAGGATTGTTCCAAGCAAGGTCACTTTTCCTTAGAGTGAAGGGGCAGGAGATCATATTGGGTGAATTATCTCATCTGCCTTTGGGGATGTGTGAGGGCCCATGTGACAGATTACTTCATTGGTGCTAATCAGGAAATTCATGACTAACAGGTTAAGATTTACCTTTTTTGCTGGGGAAGGTTGAAACTGCAGTGAGGAATTAAGCCCCAGTTTAGTGACTTGGCCTAAGTGAGGCCATTTTGGGCCTCTGGTTATCTTTTTAACAGGGGAAGAAGGGATTGAGTACAAGGATATATGTGTTCAAGTGCTTAGGAGAACTGGAAGTAGACCTGGAGAAGGACTCAGCTGCAGAATTCAGGCACTCTCTCCCACCTCTCCTGCTCCCACCTCTCCTGCTCCGACTCTTGTCTTGCTTTCATTCTTTCCCATCCCCTCTCAGAGGCTCCACATTCTCTGTCATTCTTTTCATCATTCTCTCTCACCTGGCTTTTCCCACATAATCATCTTGCATATACCACGTTAGCTGCCTGTCCTTCTCTATCTCAGCTTTTTAGTTAAGAGCTTGGCACCTACTCTATGCTTTTTCTACAGCTCTTAGTTCAAGTTCTAAAAAATAAATCTGATTGGCTGAGCTTAACTCTACCCCAACAGAGCCTGTAGATGAGCCCAAAATTTATTAGTGTTCATTCCAATCCAAAGCCAGGCAAATTTCCTCAACAACGTGAGTAGGAGGGGAACGCTGAATGTGTCTGAGTGCCAGAGTCTGAGGTAATAAAGGGTACTAAATATGCAGCAAAGTTTCATTGTTAAAACCAAAGTTTTAATACACAGACCAAAAGTTTTGTTTGTTCGTTTGTTTTGTGGTTTTGGTATGAAGTACAGAATAGGTGTGAGAAAACACGAAAGAATATTTAAGCATCTGCACTTTGAAGTCAGATGACACGATGTGAATGAGAGCTCCACAGACTACACTCGACCTTCCAAAACCTGTGGAACTGCCATTAGAAGGGAGTGGGATTTGTCACCCCCAAAACATGCCTCTCTGGCATGAGGACTATTTTAGGCTGTTTTTTGTTTTGTTTGATTTGGGGTTGTTTGGTGTTTTTGCCAAGTTAGAAAGAACATATTTTTATTTAATATTTCATTGGCTTGCCTTATAGTTTTTATTTACTTAAATTTCCTTAAATGAAGTATAGCTGATAATATTATATTAGTTTCAACACAGTGATTGAACTGGCATTATGCTGTGCTCATCACAATCGTAGCCACCTACTATCTGTCATCATACACCACTATTACAATAGCATTGACCATATCCCCTGTGTTGTACCTTTTATCCTCCTAACATTCATTCCACAACGGAAAGTCTCTATCTCCCACTTAGGATGATTACTTTAAAAAAAAAAAAAAAAAAAGACAGACACAGGAGGAAAAGCTTTGACAATGGAGAACTTATCTTTTTTATAAGGGACACTTGTTTATAAGAGAAATCTCCCTCAGTACAGTTGTCTCCCTCTCTGTATCAGGAAAAAGAGAATAACTCAATCTCTAGAAATTCATCAGTGGAGAAAGTAAAGACTTAACTTTGCATAGAAACTTAATCCTAGTTCACCGTGCTGTTCCCAATCATCTCTCATAACTGGCTCACTCACCCCCGACATCCTCTTTTGTCTTTAGAGATGTTTAAGGTGGTGGCTTGGGCCACTTCAAGGAGTCATTCTTTTTCCCTGGGTATCTCCCATGTATACAGAAAGTATACATGTTATTAAACTTCTGTTTGTTTCTCCCTGTTAATCTTTTATTATAGGGTGGTCTCACTCAAGAACCTAGAAGGGTAGAGGGAAAATTATTTTTTTCTCTCCTACACCATTTTCTGGAGGACAGAATTTTATTTGTCCTTCAAGGTCCTTCTAGCTGGAATAACAATTAAATTGAGATGAGATAGATTAACAGGAGAAAATAAAATTTAATTTTATACATATGGGACATCTACACAGATGTGGAAATCCCAAAGTGTCATTCTGAACTAAGGAGAAAGGGTTAGGGGTCTGGGACTTCAAAGGGAAAGCATGCAATTCAATGGATGATAATGAAGAGTAAATCTTTGGTAAACAAACATTTGCAGGGCTATCCAAACCAACAGGACCTAGGAGACTTTATCAAACAGATCTTTCTAGGTTCTTCTCTACCATTCCTAATTCATACCACAATGTAGTTATCTCTAGTGATAGCTCTATTTCTGAAGCAGAACATCTGTCTAAATTCTTTCAGGTTGCCATGGGAAAGGTAAACAGTCTTTTCTCAATCTGCTGAGTTTTGAGTGCTTTTAAATAAAAAATAATCTTCATGCCAAAGTGAGCCATCTTGGGGTAGCCTGCCCTAAGCACCTTCTTCATAAGCTAGTTGTGAGAATTAAATAAGGTTATTTATGTTCTAGACCCCTAATAATTATTCAACAAATATTAAAAATACAGAAGAAGAAAAGTTACCCCTCACACAGAGATCAAAGGAATCCAACAAACAAACAAACAAACAAACAAAAAAGCTGAAGGCACAAGGAGATTCTGGAAAGGGAAAAACAAGAAACTGATGGACTTTCTGATCAAATGACTGAAACTTTCATAGAACAGTAGATTCTGAAATCTTAGGAAATCTTTAGTCATCTTTGATATGTTCATAACTCCATTATGAAAACACTAAAGGTTAACCTCATGACAGCACCCTACAGCAGAACTAATGGATATACTTAAAAATTTACAAATTATGTAAAATAATAATATCATCATCATCATATAAATAATAATAACAAAAATTGACATTTATTGAAGGTGGGAGCCTGTCTTAAGTACTTTATGTACATTTATATGTATACATATATGTATTAATATGTATTAATGCATTTACTACATATATCAGGCCTAAGAGCCCTTATTATCATCTTTTTAGGGAAAAAGAAATGGATGCTCAGAGACCTTAAATAATTGACCAAAGCTGCAAAACTAGCAAAGAGCTGAGGTTCAGGGTTCACAAGCCAAAATTCTGCAACAGACAATTCTCTAATCATGGGAAACTTCAGTAGCCCTCAGATTTTTTTCATCAGCGTACTGATAATATGGATAAAATAATTTGAAGAAAAAACAAACTGGAAAAAGAGGTCATTTTATTAAGTAACAATGTAATAGTAAATATATATTGTAAAAATATATAACTCTGAGGGGGAAAATGTTTTTTTTTTCTTTTTATCTGATTATAAAAAAGAATCCTGGAAAGTGAAAGATAGAGTTCCTCAAGAACAGTAATTCTGAGTTCTGTTTCCTTCGTTCTGTCCCTAATAGAAAACCTCTTTGAAGTGTTTGGCGAAATTAGCCTAAATACTGTTGGAGTGACCTAAACAGGAAGCCTGGCTATTCCCAACTGCCCGTGATCTCTGAGACCAGCTCTGGGCTCCCTCTTTGCTCCAATAGACAGGAACGACTTTGGGCTATATAATCGTCAAATTCTTACCTCGCCCTTTCACTGCTAGCAGGATCAGATTACATTTCTTTCACTATTCTCCACTCCCCAGTTTCTTGATCCGTTTAAAAGAAGAAGTAGAAAAGATAAATCTTCTCTTCAGTGCCTGGAAGGGAAAACAAAATAACCTCAACTCCGCTTTGAAAAAAATCTTTCCAAGAACTTTCTTCAGAGATTTGGCTCGTGAGTACTTGGCAATATACTTTCTAGCCCATGAGAAATAATCTTTATTTCTTTTTTCATGGGAGAAAAACGGGGTACTGAGAGGTAAAGGCTGGTAGGGGAGGACCATTGTCTGTAACCCTATAATGAAAATTGACTCTTCTCTGTAAACAAAGTAAACTCATATTTCAGTACAAAATGAAGTTCTCAGCACTTTGCATTTAGTTCTTAAGCAGCTATATATGCAGTAGATATTTATGCTTTAAGACTTTGAACATTTTTGTAAGAAGTTGGTGAGATGTAGACTTTTTTTTTGTAATTTTCAGCTTTTGGTGGCAATTCTTTACTAATCGTGTGTAAACTGGAATTTTTTCTGAAGATTTGGTTTACTTTTAAATATTTTATATATTCACATATAAAGAAATATGAGTGAGAGACTCCCTGGCAGCCTTATGTTTAAAGAATCTTCTATTGCCTTTAATTGTTGATAGTTATGATAAAGCATAAACATTAGAATTCTTGTAAATCAAACTAAATATTATATGTCTGTATTAACTAATCTCTCTAAGGAAATACTTAAAAGTCTTCAAAGAATAAAGCTCACATTCTAAGATACTTAAAAAAGCATATATATAATTTCGTTATTTGCAGTGCAATGATGTTAATTAAAGCAATAGATCACATACTTACGTGATGTACTATCATGTTCATGTTGGTTATGAATCGACATTAAAATTTGCTTCTGGTGGTTAACAAAGGCACATAACCACCGAACTATAATGAGACAAAGTTATTTAACTATGGAAAAAGCTCATTTGTATAAGTAATAACAAAAAATGAAGGCTAAACAATGCCATGTAGGAAAAAAAGAAATGATAAGCAACAGCCACACTGTGACTCAGTGCTCTGGAAATTAGTCACAAAATGACTTTGTAAATTGTGTGATAAACACAAAGGACAGAACTCAAGCAGGAAATCTACGGCCCAGAGAGTCATATTTTATGTGTAAAGGCATACTATTTACGTCAGAAGGGAAACATGTCAATATTGAGATATTGCAAAGTTTTTAAACCTAACAAAATCCTTTCCTAAAATGTTTTTAGATTGTTTTAAATTCATGATTCTAGTGCATGATTATTTTACATTTTATCTATATCAACTCTAATATTTAAAGTAAAAAGTGAATAATGTCTTTGAAAATGTATTGGGTATGCAATTTAATTCAGAGCCTATGGGTTAATAAAATTATATAAAATATTCATAGGGATCAAAGGGGTTAAATATTAATGTAAATATAGATAATTAACATCATAGACGTAAAAGCAAAATACTTTTAACAATTCGAATAGTTATATTGGGGAACTAAATTTATCTTCAGGTGACTGACCATAGAATATTGTTGGAGAGGGACACCTGGGTACTCAACTGGTTAAGTGTCTTACTTTGTCTCAGGTCATGATCTTACAGTTCACAGGTTCAAGTCCCCAGTGGGGTTCTGTGCTGACAGCTCAGAGCCTAAAGCCTGCTTCACATTCTGCCTTTCTCTCTCTCTCTCTCTCTGACCCTCCACCACTCATTCTCTCTTTCTCTCTCTCAAAAAAAAAAATTAAATAAAATCATGAAAACACTTTTTCAATAAGAAAAGAATGTTGTTGGAGAACTTTAATGTCATACATATTACTGTTTGGTTCCTCTTTCTATTAGTATGCAGAATGCACAAGTTTTGTTTTGTTTCTGTTTTTTAAAAGGCATATTCTGATATCTTTAAGTTTTATCTCCAATGATTAGATCAAAATGTGCCTCCTGTCCAAATGGATTATGCCATCAGTTGGTGCTTGCAAGTCTGATAGCCTGTAGCTCCAGGCCTCACTTCCTGTTTGTCATTCAACTATTTTGACTAGAATCTTCTATTATAACATTTTTGCTAAATTTAAAAATAAAATAATCTATGAAGTGGGAAATTGTTTTTGTTATTAAACTATAGTTTTGTAATATAAATTTACTCTTTTCCTGAGAATTAATTTCCTGATATTTGTTTTCTATGTTATTCAAATTCAAAAAATAATTGGACAAGATGACTAACTACTAGAAGAAAAGGTCAAGTTCAAAAGGCTTTGCTTATTCCCAGAATACCTAGCAACTAACCAAACAGTAAATGAATATATTCTTTAGAATGGTTAGAAATGGTTGCTTTAAATCCAGTGTCACAAACTTTTAAGACACAAAACATCTCAGATCACTACCTAATTAGCAGGAAAAAAAAATTGCAAAGTAAAAATCTTTGCAAAATAAAAGAATAAAGGGTAGGAGAAACAATATGAAAAAAGAAGGGAATTACTTAGAATAGGATTTTTAAAAATACCTTATTTATTAGTATATATAAATAAGTTGAATGATAATATTGGTCAAAATAAGTTAATTATATCACCAACTTAATTTTGTTATGTGGACATGATCTAAGAACTTTACCACAATCTAATTCACCTATTTCAGTAAAGGCTGTCTCTAGCCCCCTCCCTTTTTTGTTTTCCATCTAAAACATTTAACTCAGGAAATTGATTTACAGAGCTATCTTTTTAAAAGCAAAAATGTGCTGTTGTTGTTGTTCCTTCTGCTGTTAAAGTTTATTTATTCATTTTGAAAGAAAGTGAGGAAGGAGCAGAAAGAGAGGAGGAGAGAGAGAGAACCCCAAACAGTCTCCCCACTGTCAGTCCAGAGCCTGATGCGGGGCTCCAACTCACAAACTGTGAGATCATGACCTGAGTGGAAATCAAGAGTTGGACAATTAACCCACTGAGCCACCCAAGAGCCCCTAAAATCAAAACTATTCTTAAATGCATTATATCTTTTATAGAAATTCTTTGTTTGGAGATATCTGAATTCAAGAAATTGAGTGACTATTGAAGTCCTCGTTTCTGAATATTAAATCATACCAAAATGAAGAAAGGTTGCAAGTTATTCCAGAAAGTTCTTTCAAGATAGACCATTTCTAGGTCTCTGAGATCCTCAATGACTGGTTTCTTCATGTGAGGTATCATCTCCAGGAGCCCTGTCTTCCCCTTGTCTTCACTTCTTCTCCAAGTGGCAGGTGTCATGTAGAACCATAGCTTAGGATTCAACTACCAAAAGGCTGAGGATGACCTAGTTATTTCCACATTTCTTCTTTCCATAACCAATAACAAAAAAATCACTGGATCCATGTCAAATCTTCTATGTTCATCTCTTTACGCCTTCCTTTGGGACTCTATGTTCTCTCTCAGTTGGAACAAACATATTTTAAATTTATTTTAAAAACAAAAGAGGAAAAGGACACCATCGTCCATAGTAGAAGTGCCAGTGATGCAATATTTCTGTGCCAATTGTTCTGTCTGGTGGGCCACAGTTCCTTGAGGTGACATGGACTTATTGCAAGGAATACCCCAATAAAAATGTAATAGTAGCATAGTAGCATTCTTTCTGGACAGAATAAATATTATATGTTATTGATTAAACTATTTCAACATCAGAAATGTGAAAGTATCAATCAATATGGCACTAATAAAACTTAGTGTTTTTCTTGCCAAGCATAATTTGCCACTGGCATCCTTCAACTCTACCACACCCTCAGTGCCACCACCACTCTGCTGCCAACCTCAGTTTATCCTTCCCGCTCATGATTCATATCAATGTCTGTCTTAGCCTCACATCCCATAATAACAATCTCTAAACATCACCTCACTCTTTACTTTACAAGGCTTAAAAATGGAGTAAACATGAGTAATAAGTGTTTATTATAATTGTTTTAAATGGAGTAATACCTGAGTGTGATAAGCCTTCAGAATAATAGTGTTTATGCAAAATTTTGATATTTTTGAAGTTCATTTAGGAAACTTCAAATTATCTTAGAAAATGAATCAAAATGATTATATTCAAATATCGTATACCTATTCTTGCTCTTTTTTGTGCCATTTTCAAATATACATGAATATAAAATGAATGAATTTCTGATTCATGATACAAGAATGAAACTTGAAACCATGCTAAAGTGAAATAAACCAGACACAGAAGAACATATAGTATATAGTTCCATATGTATATCCAGAATAGACAAATTCATAGAGCCAGGGAGTAGATTAGAGTTTACTAACATCTAGAGGAAGGCACGAATGGTGAGTTACTGAATAATGCATACAGAGTTTCTGTCTGGAGTGGTAAGAAATTTCAGAAATATATAATGGTAATGATTGTGTAACATTGTGAATGTAATTGATGCCACTGAGTTGTACGCTTAAAATGGTAAAAATAGCAGGGGCACCTGTGTGGCTCAGTTGGTTGCACCTCCAACTCTTAATTTCACCTCAGGTCATGATCTCATACTTCATGAGACTGAGCCCCATGTCTGGCTCTGTGCTGACAGCATACAGCCTGCTTGGAATTCTCTCCTTCCCTCTCTCTCTACCCCTCCCCACTTGTGCTCTCTGTCAAAAATAAATAAATAGATGTTAAAAATGATTAAAATAGCAAATTTCATGGTATATCTGCTTTACCACAATAAAAAATAAAACTATTAAAAAGAATTCAGTTTAAAGAATTCTAGATTCCTTTTTTATTGTCTCAATAGAATAAAAGTACAAATATTACAATGTTGGATACCCACCCTAAAAAAAAAAAATGACAATAGGATCTTCCTGTTTTGTTTCATGATGACAATTGGAACATATTTTTACCTGATATTGCTGTACTGGAGGCTAATTTTTTTTTATTCATATTGTCTTTTTTGGTTTTGGTATCAGGGTAATTCAGGTCTCACAGATTGAATTGGCAAGTACTCCCTACCTTCTGTTAAATTTTCTGGAGTAGTTAAGGTAAAGTTTGTATTATCTCATCTTTAAACGTTTGATAGAATTCACCAGTGAAACCATCTGGGTGGGGCTGAAGTTTTCTTTGTGGAAAGGTTTGTAATTTCAAAATTCAAAAAAATTATAGGCTATTCAGATTATCTACTTCTTCTTGAGTGAGCTTTGGTAGTTTGTGTCTTTCAA